AAATAATGTAAAAATAATAAAATTAAAGTATTTAAATCTATTTAGTTTTTGAGTTTAGTGTAACTATTGGACTTTAAGGGTAATATTAGGTCTTTTAGTCTTAATTTTTTAATTATTTGATTTGAGACCGTTTAATAACTTTGTTACTACGAGCTAGGGAAGGGATGAGGTTTGAAGTTTGAACCCGCCTCATACTGCCAGACTTCAGGCCTTAGCCACTCGGCCCACCATGTGGTTAGCAACTTCGTTGATATGTATATATATATTTTTAAATGGTTACAATTTGAGGTAAAGCGAAGGAAGATATTTATATGGTATTATCATAATTTGAATCTTGGTATTAATTAAGGCATTAAGCGTCCCAATCAACTAATTTACAAGATTTGATGTGTAACTTTGTTGATTAATATTTTATTATAGTTTTTCTTGTGGTAATTAATTTTAGTGGGGGTTTCATATTCTTTCTTATACTGTAAGGATAAATGAAATAAATAAAGGAAACCATCTAGTATGTTCAAAAACAAATAAAGGATATAATTTTATTGTAAGCTTGATTTGTCATCCTTTCCTTCCAGTGGTAGTAGCCAAATCGTTTTTACAAGTACCCAGACGAAATTTTATTATTTAGTAGGACGCTCGCAGTGGTAATTTTTCAATTTTGGTAGCCGATCTGTTTTTGCCTCTATGATATTAATTACTCACTTTTTTCGCTTAATTATCTAGATTATTTTTTTTTTTTGATACATCAGAGGAAATTAAAATATACTAAAACGAGAAACTAAAAACGAAGGAAAGAAACTCCCAGCTGGTCCCCTGTAAGGATTGGCCACAAGCCAGTCGGTGGAGAATCCCACAAAATTATCTAGATTATATATAGATTTGTCATGAGCACATATTTTCCATTGCTACTGATGTAGGTTTACCTTTTATTTACCATTTCCCATTTTACCTTATACTATTATTTTTATAATAAATAAATAAATAAAATAAAAAAAATGCTAGAAATGTTGCATGTACAAAATCCATTAATCCAAACTTACAAATAAAATAAAATAAAAATGTGCTGAACAAGTCTTTAATAGAATGAACCAAAGTTCGTAAAAATAATGTATCATATCAAGAATATAATTTTTTCTCCCTTTGATAAACAAGGTCAGAGCCATTTAGCTCTAAACCCACAAACTTAATTTAAAAAAAAAAAAAAAACTATTTTCCATAGTTCCAAAAATCCATCTCCCCTCTTAATGAAGGCTGGTTCATTGGGTGCACAGACGAATTAGCATTGGCATCCTGATCAAACCTCACCCCTCCTTTCGAAGAATCCTCGTTCCCAAGATGTGGAGTAACAAGCCTATCAAGCATTGCCCATTCGTTCATGCTCTCATCGGACCGCCCACCAACCATTTGTTGATTTGCCTCACAGGTATTAACCTCCAACCCCGGATCGCAAGCTTGGTACCGAAGATTCTCACTCGCACTCTCGCAGTCTCTAGGGTTGGGCATCACAGAGTAGTCATAGTTGAGGGGCTTGTGGCCTGAGGGAAGTAGGGGTTGGGATTGGAAGAGGGTGTATTGAGGGGTTGGGATGTGGGGGTAGGGGTGAAGGGCTAACTCGGTGGGCTTGTCTAATTCGAAGTTGTGTTGGTGGATGTTTTGGTGGCGGAGGAGGTTGTGATATTGGGTGTCCCTGTGCATGAAGGTGCGGGGTTGGATGGGATTGGTGGAGCTAGTATTGAGTTGTTGATCAGATGAGTTCATGCTTGATGAGCTGCCTCCTTCGTTTGGTACCTTGAATAAGTTTTTCTTCTTGAACACCCTGCATACCACCCATCCATCTTCCTATATACACAACGTTGTTAAAGTGTAAGAATCAGATCAACAACTAGTTGCTAGAGCTTAGGGAAGGTCAGAGTTTATCTAGACTTACACTTCCTTGAGAATCGTCGCCATCTTCAAGCCGATACTCGTGCATGATCCAATCAGTCTTTTGACCATGGGGAGCTCTGCCTCTGTAGAAAACAAGGGTTTTCCTCATACCAATCTTCTTGTAGGTATTCCTGATGCACTTGTCCCTACCCGTTGCCTTCCAAAACCCCGCATTGGTTGCCCTATTCGTCCTCGACCCTGTGGGATACTTCCTGTCCTTGTGACTGAAAAAGTACCACTCATTTTGCGGAGTTGACCCGATCCTACACTTCTCTGTACATCAAATTCAAGAAGCAAACTTAACACCCAAAATTCCTAGTAGTATATTTGCCCTAAAGAAAATGACTGAGAAAAGAGGTGCATGAAAGGATATATCCTTTATTTCCCTCCTCTCTCCTCCCTTCATTTAAATAAATAAAGAAATTAAAAGAAAAAATAAAATACATGACTTCCTTTCCTCTCCCCTCTCCTTCAATTTTTTTTAATCAAATAACTCAAAATTTTTTCCCTTTTTTTCTCTTCCTTCTCTCAAAGCAAACATATTATAAAAATAAATACAATTAATTACATTGATTGTCCTTTGACAAAAAGAGAATTCAAAGCCCTAATAATCTATGCGTTGATTTTGAATTTTAGTGATTTATTTAATGATATGTGAATCTTATTAATATATATTCGTTGTTAAGACATTCGTTTGAAAAATTGCAATCTAATACACAGCCACAAAATATCAATAATTTTTATGAAAAATATCAATAGTAATTAATTGATATATATACATAAGGCAAATTCTAAGATCCATATCTCAATAATGGTTTTTTATTATATAATTCATTACCAAATGCATTAAAAAAAAAAAAAAAAACCTTCCTCATGGTTTTCTAGCACTTCTCTATTCATAATTCACTTTATTTAGCTATAAAAAACAAGACAAACTAGTTAATATGATTAATGCTGGTTGTCTTTTTCTTTTTCTTATGCTAAATTCATAATTTACTTCGGCTAAATTAAAGACTAGACAAACTAATTAATAAGAACTAATAACAAATCTTATCAATTGTGAACAACTTCATGATAAGGATAATAATTTATATATCTTCTAATTTAACATACATGTCAACGCCTTTCGGTTCAATTATTAAATTTTGCAAATGAAATTTTTCTTATTATGAATTTAAATTTGAAAATAATAATTTTTTAATAAATATGTTATGAAATCTGTTAAATCAAAAGGTATATCAATTATTGTCTAAATTATAATTATCTTTTAAAGTTACCTTGCAACTCCCATGGCTCAATCTTGTTCAAGTCGACCTCTCGGATGACTTCCATGTCAAATTTTTGAAACGAAAGCTTCTTCTTCAAGTAGTAATGAAGCAACTCCTCGTCTGTTGGGTGGAAGCGGAATCCCGGCGGCACGCCACCGTTGGACGAAGCCATCCGATCTTGATGATGATCACCTCTTGACTTTCGTCACGTACGGCTATCTCTCTAATTATTCACTATGTTTTGCTCGTGAATATGGAAATTTTGTGAGAGCAGAGAGGTAGCAAAGCCATCTTTTTGTATGTGAAGGGGCATAAATATGAGAATGCGTTGTGTCAACGGGGGGATGGACCGGATGGTGGTGTGAGAAAGTTGACGGCCGGTGACTACGCCGACGGGGAAGGTTAAAGCTTATCGTAAAAAGCAAGTCTAAGAAAATTGAGACTGGTTTCGATATTTTTTGCTGTGATGTAACCTAAAATGGTGTCACTTGCTCCACATGCCCTAATGGAGCGTGGATGCACTCCACAAAAATACATGATATAAAATAAACCTTAAAATAAATTCAGCCCAATATTTTACAATCCTACGGATCGTATCAAAAAAGAGATGTACCATTCCAAAAATAAATTCATTTAATAATTCTTATTATACGATTTTATGTTATCTAAAATAATTGAAGGTAAAAACTTGCATTTGCTTTTTGTTGTAAAGATGGTAGACTACGTACCCTTTATATTTATTTTAATAAAATTTTATAATTTTCTAAAAAAGTTTGTGCATTCCACCACAACATTTTTAAAAATAAATTTATATAAAAAATTTACTATTACTTTTTTGAAAGAATTTATTTTATTTTAAAATTTGAAAGGTGTTTATATTTTTCTATTCTCTAAAGGGTGACAAAAGGTACTTATTAAAATAATATGAATTTAAAATAAAGTTATATAAATATTTTTATTGAAATTATGTGTGATATTACAAATAAAAGCTTAATTAAGTAAATACTTATTAATTTAAAACTTTTTATTTAAAATTAAAATTAAAAATTTAAATCTTTATAATACTAAATAATTAATAAATAAAAAAATTAAAAAAAAAATGTGGTGCATGCCTGTTATAATATCATGCACGCGCTGCATATTGAGTTGGGTCTAACACTTTCACCCTGGTCGCCCATTTAGAACCCTGGAACTTAAATAAAGCAATAAACGATCCCAAGAAAATTAGAAAATAATATTAGTTATGGATATTTGATTGTTCGGTAAGCAAGGGTTGGAAAAACAGCTACACTTAACCTTCTTGGGATTTTCGTAATTAAATCGGACGGCCAAAGTCTGATGTATGCAATAATTATTTTTTTGATATTTTATATACAATAATTAGGGGTTCATATCAGCGTTTGTTATGGTTAGGGTTTTTTGGTCCTAAAATCAACAGTTGGAGGCTTCGCAGTCGCCATAGCTCGAGTTTGGCACATGCAGGTACGACCTTGTGACAATTCAGATTAATTCTCTTGATTCACTTGCACGCTTCTTTTCTGGTTTTCATGGTTGATCAATCGTATATCATACTGTGGATGCAACTAAATTAATATGATCAATTAGATAAGGTGTCAAAGGATCTATTGATAATATTCTGCTGGGATGATTTTTGTATTGTACATATTGAATGTGAAGCACGAATGAGTAGAAATGAATCTAGCTAGCTAGTCTTTGCCATGTTAGTTGATTCTATTTTTTTTTTTTTATAATAGATAATTGAGTTATATAATAAAAAATAATCATTTTATTTCTTTAATATCTCTTTATTTATGTCAAGATTTAAATTCAAAATCTTTAATTTAGACTTTTAAATATTTAATCAACTGAGATACTTTTTTTTTTTGAAAGGCAAAAAAATATTTATTTATTTATTCGATAAGTACAAGGGGTATTCAAACCGATCATATACAAAAACCAACTTGTTGCTTAAAAAACCAGCAACAATAGAGCAGCGAGGGTAAAACACCCAAAAAAGAAAAAAAAAAAAACCAACTTTCCAAGAAGACCAGTTAAAACCAAAAGACCAGTTCAAACACTATCTTTCCGAATGGGGTTAGTCTTAAGACATTTGGTTGGATTCTCGCACCAATCAGATAAAGAGAACCCTTCCATACCTTGAATGTTTGTTACCCAGAAGAAAGATCGAATCTGAACTAGCTCAAAGAATCTGTTGAGCTTTGTCTCCTTCATCTGGAAAATCTTTTCATTCCTACCCAGCCACAGTGTCCATAATACTGCAAACCAGATAATGTTCCATCCCCTATCAAGTAGTTTCAGACCCCCAAGCCATTTAGGTTGCTCAAAAAGCATTAAACATGAATTATCCAGTACATATTGCACGCCCCACCACTTGTAGCATTTCATCCATAATCTAAAAGCCACATTGCATCGAGCAGATATATGATTGGATGTCTCAATTGATAAATCACACCAGTAGCAACTTAAATTAGAGTTTGCATTGTAAATTCCTCGGATTGAAAGGTTATCTTTTGTAGGGAGTTTCTTGTGCAGCAATTGCCAACAAAATGCATTTACTTTAGGTGGAATGGAGGCTTTCCACACCCTTATGAAGTCAGTTGCTGGCTTTGGTTCTCTCTTAAGAATCCATGAGTAAGCTGATTTTGTTGTGTAAGTCCCTGAAGTTTCCATGTGCCATTACGATCGATCTTCCTTGTTATGTGTTAGAGCTCTTAATTTTAGCATCTCAACCAACTCTCTTTCAAAGTCCTCCTCCCATGATCAAAATGGGTGTTTCTAGGAAAATTTCCATTGCCAGCAATCCTTCGACCAGGATCCCATGTCTCTGACGCTGCAATTTTGATCTGTAGCTAGCAGGAACAAACGAGGGAATTTGTTAGATAGAGCATACCCTTCTACCCACACATCTGTCCAAAACTTAACCTTCCCGCCATCCCCCAAGTCTACAACAAAACCCAAGCTCAGCCAATCCTTCTTAATACCCATCCCTTCATCTATCTTGCAAATATCCTTCCACCATTTTGAGCCTACATATCTACCCTCCCTTAAGTAAGATAACCAATTCCCTTCACCACTCCTATATATGTCAGATAAAACTCTCCTCCACAATCCCCCCTTCTCGGTAATCAATCTTCCCCACCATTTTCCTAGTAATGACATATTAAAGCACAATAAGTTTTTTATACCCAACCCCCCATCGAGCTT